AGTTGATTTTTCTTGTTTCGCGGACGCTATGAGGGGGGGGGCGTCGGATTTTCTCGGTGTTGGTATTTGCTAATGAGAGAAAATTTGCAGTGTTCGGTAAAATTTTTCCCGTCGTGTACTCCTCACGGTCGGTTCCCTCCCCCCGCTCCCTTCAGTTCGCATTGCCGCTACATTGATCCCAAACAACATCCGAATAAAAGATAAATTTCAGTGAAATTCAGCCTCAATTTTGAACTCTACGGTCATAATAGGTAGTAGCGCCTGAATTTCTTCTAGACTAGACGAAAGAAATTCAGCCAAGGACTCACTGACCAGGCGGTAGATTCCTTCGTTTCCAATAAGTGTGATAGAATATGAAAAGTGCTGAGAGCACGGTAATGAGAGCTAATAACATCGGCAGGGCGAACGTGACGTGCTGGGACAACAAGGGCGATGATGCCGAAACTACGCCAAGTTAAAAGAACTGAAAAGTGGTCGTCAGCGATCATTTGATAAGAGGAGTGACAGAGCGAAAGCGAGTGTTTGGTTATTGAATGGTTGGTAAAAAAATAACCAGAATTCCGAAACGTCAAGGACCGGCACTTTGTCTGCAATTCTTCGACGTTGGTCGGTTTGGGAGGGCTATTTGCACTTTCGCTTGTTTTTTGCTAGTTCACATTAATTAACATGTCGCGCTTTGGTGAGACCTGAAAACTCTGTGAAGCTGAAAAATGGTTTGAATTACTGTGGTTACACGGTTTACAGGTCTTCAGGGGGTAGGGGATGGCATAAACAAGCTTCTCTAGCTATAAGTACCATTTGGTGCTCTCGCCAGGCGGAACTGCCCTCCCCCCCCGATTCCTCCGAAGGAGAAGCCTTTGGTGAATTTCAATCGGAAATTACAAGTGTTTTCACGCAGTCCTCTCGGGGTGCGCCACGTCCTGTATTCCCAATGTCCATCGCAGAGACCCCTGGAAGTTCTTAGGCACTGTAGATCCTGCTATATATGGTCGGCTATGTCCGTGTGTGTGTGCGTGCGCCTGTCTGTCACAAAATTCATGACACCTGAAGAAGGAACTTGGAGAGTCGGATCGATGGTGGGATGGTAGAACATGGACAAAAAACCTCGACAAAGACGCTTATCGCACCGCCATACCCATGGTAAGCCCGCCCACAGGGGGTGGGTGTGTGCGTCGAAAGCAGCTATGGTCACTGAAAACTCATAACTCGGTTTCCAGAGCGAGTCCGAGGTGAGGGAATGGTTCTGCAAAGTTAACAAAGGGATGACCGACCCATGAGTGGAGACTCACCCGAAATGGATGGGGCGTACTTGAGATCGGCGGCGCTTCCTGTGTCACTGAAAAAAACACTATAACTTGGCTACAAAGCAACTCGCAGGCGTAAAAAAGTAGAGTAAGGTTAGCAATGGGTTGGCACACCAAACGGAGGAGACACACTCCAAATGGACGGGACGTATAATACTTGAGATGGACGGAGCTTTCCACAAAGGTCGGTATCTCGGTTCCCGAAAATGTTTAGAGATCGCAGAAAAGTCCATGACGAAGATGAACGTCTGGCAAGAGTCCACCATGTTTGCGGCGTGCTGAGGCCCGCCCACAGTGCAGGGCGGGGCGTGCATTTGAGCACGAGGTACAGTACGAAAAGTCGTAGTTTGGTCCTAAATCATTGCATATAGTGCCAAAAAGTGGATTATGGTACCCAAGTGATCTAATGCAGGAATGTGGGAAGCACACATTGTGGGCGAAGCGTCCCCGAGGTGGGCGGAGCCAAATTTAAAAAATTCGCAAAACGGTTCCAGAGCACTCCAGACACCGGGAAAAAGTAGTTTAAGATCAGCGAGGGGTTATTAGTTGAGAAGCGCGAGGCATACGTTGTGGGCGGGGCGTCTCCGAGGTGGGTGAGGCCAGTTTAAGAAATCCGTAAAACGGTTCCAGAGCACTCCAAACACCGGGAAACATAAGTTTAAGATCAGAGGGGTTATCAGTTGAGGAGCGCAAGGCACAGGCGCCAGGGGGCGACCATTGGACGTCTGCCCTAGCATCCTTTCCATACTTGGTATCCCTCATGTCGGAGCTCTTGCAAAAGGGATTCCATCCTGTCTCGGAGATCGCTCGACATGGATCTCAGCGCGGTTCAAAGCTCGAAGACCGCGTGAAAGGGGTCTTATTGAAGGTCGGTAGGAGGAGCCCGCTTCAGGCAGAATCAAATCCCTTTTGCGAAGGCTCCGACATGAGGGATACTACGTAACATGAGGGATACTATGTATGGAAAGGATGCTGGGGGAGGGTCTCCAAAGGTCGCTGAGATGCTCCTTCGGTGCTTTCCGACCCAAGGATCAAGTGGGGAAACCTAGTGGTTCAGCGAATCGAGCTAGTTTTTTTATCAAGGTGCCATGATGTGTGACAGCTTTACCCGACTAACACCCCGAAATAACGAACAGTGCCGAAACTTCTTCTGATATGCCATGAAACATTAAAAAAATTGAAAAACTAGTCGCAAACCAGGTGGCAAGTTCCGCCTTTCCAGTAAGTGTGATAGAATATGAAAAGAGCTGAGAGCACAGTAACGGGGAGTAATAGCTTTGCGAATGCGATGTGACGTGTAGGGACAACAGCGTAGCCAAACGTTCGATATTTCGAAGGAACAGAGAACTGGTCGCCAGCGACAATTTGATAAGAGGAGTAGCGGTGTGAAATGGTATTTAGTCGCCGAATGTCTGGTGAAAGTTGGCAAAAATCCAGAAAAGTTTAGCAACGAGATCTTAGTTACCAACTTGGCTTCTAGATCAGGAGTCTATGAAAAACAAGATCTAAGATAGCTGAGAATCGGAAGCAGAGCACAAGCCCATGTTGAGAAAGTTCGCAGCGAAATACGCCCCGCCCCCTGGGTTGCCTTCTGGCACGACCGCCATTCCCGTTCTTGCAGTTCTCTCATCTTGTCGCCGAAATTCAAGTCTCCTGACCTAAACCCGATCAGCAAGATTCGATATTCGAATTTGTTACAATGAGTATGAAATTTTATTGAACATATTTCTTGTATTTCCTTGACAGATCCGCTGCATAAGCTCTCATATGATGGGATAGCAAAATAGAGCAATCTGGCTTGGAGGGAGCGCCAAATGGTACTCAGCAATGCTAGTACATGCCACCGTGTGAAGACCTGTCAATTCCTGTTAATGTGAATCATTCGTACCGCTCAACGGCTTTACAAGAGTGTGCAAGTCTTGTCAAATTGAGCCCTCTTAGTGGACTAGCTAGAAGATTCAGAGAGAGTGCAAAGTGCTCCCCCACCTTCAAGCCGAACAGCGCAAGGAATTTCATACAATAGAGCATTGACGTTCACATGTGGACACAGCCCTAATGCCTTTCCTTGAGAACCACGGAAAAGTCCTGTGCTCGTACTGTGGCGCCGAATTTCTTCACCGTTGATGGACGCTGGTTGCCATAGGTGGTAACCTGTAATTTAATCCACTTCATAATTGAGACGTGGTCTGAAAATGTTCCTCTTGAAGTCACTTAGAGAGTAACTGACCTCGAATTTATTGAAAAAGTTGGCAAGGAAACAGGAACAGCTCCATTCGTGCAATGCTTTCACCCAAACATTGTCTTTTTCCCATTGAAAATGGAACCACTTCGTCAATTCGTACAAAAGTTCCGTTCTCAGATAGATGTCGACGCGGATCGAAGTCGTACGGCTTGGGGAACACCTGTAATTCAGCTCTCACAAGGGAATGGTTTGAACTTCCCATGGAACTTTGAATGGAGACCTAGGTACATCGATAGAGCCTCGAATGCTGATTACGAATATGCAGATTAAAAGTGCTACGGGGACCTCCCAGACGAGATCTGGGTGGTCAAAGTTTGCGAAAAGTCAGTTTTGGCTCGTAAGCGCTGCTGATCGATGCCTCGGCAGTGCCACCGTGGCCTTGTGGTAACGGTCTCGCTTTCAAGTCAAACGCACGCGGGTTTGCATCCGGGGGTGCGCCGCGAGGGTCTTTTGCATCCGCTTCCATAAGAGACTAGTACTCTAACTTCAAAATTCTTTTCCGAGTTTACGGCCCAGCAGGGCAAGTAGATCAAGTATACGACGTACTCGATCTAGTATGGATTTGGTCATATCTGCCCTCTCTGAACATATTACCCATCCGACAATTCAAAGTTTTGCCCAGAATCGCAATTTGGCCAGACGAGCGTTTTTTCGTCGAAGGATGTGATATTCGTGTTCAGGGGGGTCGAAATCCCATGATAGCACCGAGTTTCTCGCAAAAAACTTTTTTCAATTGTCGGATGGGGTAAAAGTTGAGGAAAGGGCAGATATGACAAAATCCATAGTAAATCGAGTACGTCATATATACTTGATCTACTTGCCCTGCTGGGCCGTAAACTCGGAAGAATTTCGAAATTAGAGTTAAAGCTCTTATAGGGAGCGAAGCAAAAATTTTCGCGCCAACCGGATGCAAACCCGCGTGCGTTTGACTTGAAAGCGAGACCGTTACACGAGGCCACGGTGGCACTGCCGAGACATCGATCAGCAGCGCTTACGAGCCCAAAACTGACTTTTCGCAGACGTTGACCACCTAGATCTCGCCTGGGAGGGCACCGTAGCACTTTTAATCTGCATATTCGTAATCAGCTTTCGATCGATGTAAACCTAGGTCTCCATTCGAAGTTCCATGGGAAGTTCAAACCCATTCCTTGTCAGCAAGCACAGTCTACGCTAATCATATGGGCGGAAACAGTCAGTCATTTGTATGGTTTTCATAGGTGCGCCCCCAGTTATGGTGTACGCATTGTAAAGCGGACGGAGAGGCAGGAGCGATGCTGCGTCGCGTCCCCTTACAACTCCCACGGCTCAATCGTGGGGCCTCCTGCTGCGCCCCCAACATTAGCCTGTACTATGCCCTTGGTCCTTCAAAAGGAAAAGTGAAAATTGAAAAGAGTCAGTGAAATCCTGCCATACGTGATTATACCTTCTCATCATACATGATTGTGGAGATCTGCGGTAGTACAAGAGTACCAGCGGGGATTCTATAGCCCTCAATCTCGACATCACATATGGTTTCATGAAACACATTCAGAGTGGCAAAAGATTAGCTAGCCGCGTGGGATTTGCGCTGCCAAGCGAACTTTTGAAGATGTGTTACTATCAAAAGAAATATTCGGTGCACATAGCGCAAGGCCAGCGAGACTTATAACGGCGTTGCTTGCCTTCCCTGTTGGTGCGGTCCTTCGGTTAACGGGTAGAGCCGGAAGGCGCCAACGAGAGGGGCACAACGGCTAAATCTCTCCGCCCTCTTCGATTCCCGCGGAATCTGCTTCTAGGAGTTCTGCCTCACGTTGATTACTGCATTCATGTAGGGCAGACTGGCGCGATCAGCATTCGTGATTAAAACGTCCTCCAGAACCAAACTTATCAGTAGTCCATTTCGTTCGGGTGTATCGTGCTTCTGCACTTCATTCAGCAAGTACACAACAGTACCCCTCAGAGAAAGGCGAAACGCGTTTCCATATCCAGCCATCCACAGCAATCGAAACACAATATGCGCAGTTGAGCGGCTGGCTTATTCAAACCGCTCGTCAACACCATCCAGAAGAGGTCTCTAGAAATGTTCCTCAAAAATATAAAAAAATAGCTGGGGCAGGATTCAGAGAGCTGTGCTTGGCGCGACGCCCACCCGTTTTCCATGGTGCGCACAATGTTGCCCTCACGCTCTCAACAATGGGTTAGATAACGAGTCGGCAACGCACTAAACCTGCCCCCTCCCTTCCCCCATACGCCCCAGCGTCTGCAGCGAAAATGACTGTATGTGGACTGAGTTTATGAGTTATCCAGAATCATAGCTGGAGCTGCTATCCTTCCGCATAAGGTATCACTTGACAGTTCACGTTGACGCGTGGGCGGAGACGGCTAACAGGTATAGGATCTACTCAAAGAAAGCACCTTTTCTCTGCGAAAAAGCGGAAATGGTTGGGTTGGAAAACGGAGAAACGAGGAAAGCACACTGGGCTGGCCTGACTCGCCCACAATTACGTTTGCGACCTGTGGCCTTCAAGTTGAAGTCCAAAGTGATTTTTTTTTAATTCAAACGGAATAGCTGGCAAATCACCTGAATCCTCCATGATTGGGCTCATTTTCGCGACTTTTCTGTTCTTTCAGATAAGCTTCAACGTAGTCAGTGCTCTCCACGCTATCGAAATCAATTTCTTTCTTATGGATTTCGATTTTGCTGCTCGAACATATCAAACAAAATGTTGCCTGTTTTTCCCTGACTTCTAAAAAACAGAGGCATCTTCAACCGCTGTGTTATCGCTGAACACAAAACTGATGTAGGAGGTGTCTACAATGAACAATCAATATCAAGCTAGTCCGGCGCAGTTTGCCGTCGGGATGGGCGAGCGGGTATGTTTTGCACATTCGTATTCATTCGATGATTCTGGTTTAACACAATCTCACTCTGGTGAAAAACCTGTGAACTCTTGTGAAGCTGGAGAAAGCTCGTCAAGCTGTCATGTTAGGACCTGTCAACACGAGAAAAGGCAGTCTAGATGCGCATCGAACGCGACGGGAAGTCATGAAGTGCAAAAATGCCCAACCCCCCCCCACCCTCGGCAAACAGGCGCCGTAGTGCTGCCGCACTGCGCCTACAGGCGAGTCTACCATTGATCTTCTAGCGGAAAACGGTTAAAGGTTGGCAAGGATGAGATCTTACGGTTGATTGCCCAGCGTCTGTGGTAATGGTGAACAGATTTAGTTGTTGCGGTGCGTTTCGACGGTGCTGGGGGGCCGAGGGAGGCGGAACGCGTTGGGAGGCGGCGCCGTCCATGACCGAGCAACTGTTGCCTCCCTATTTTATCAAGGGAGCGCTGCATCAAATCCAGCCCCTGCATGTCCCATCACCTGCAGCGAGAACGACTGTACCTCTGACAGCGTGACGAATTTACGGACACCCCTACCCTATAAAGCCGCAAACAAAGACAGAATTCCATAGGCTCCCACACAACTCGACGTTGCCTTCATCTGGGCCTCTTTGAGCCGAGCTTGGTCGGCGAGCCTTTCCTCGAAGATGACAAGTAAAAAGAGCGCGTCAAGAAGAGAGAAAGCTCAATGATCTTAGGTAGGCCCTCACAGCCTTTGTTTCGCTTTCGAATGCCTGGGCGCGTGTCAGAGCTGGACTGGCCGTTCCCCTCCATAACAATTGGCATTAGCATCTAAAGCGAACAAGGCCATTTACGATACACGAGGGATAAACATCAGCAGTGAAATCCCCTACAGCCTGACGGTGGGAAGGAGGAGGGGGGGGGTGTTGTGCCAAACGGTCTGTTCTGAATAGTAACTATTGAATCGAATGCAAACGACAAACCTTTACTGTATGCCTTGAAGAACGGAAGCCTTTTCAAACCGGGGAACAGCATAAATAATAAAAATGACGGACGAGCACTCATTTTCATAATGCGAACGATCACAGCCTTCAGATGATTAAACAGATCCATATTGCTCTGCAACAAGGTTGCTACAGTTGGGCAGAATTTGGTTCTACTGACCCTTTTCAACCACACTTTTCGGAACTCGGGCAAGATATCTATGGAACTCTGCCGTGTATGAACTGCGGCTCAAGAAAAGAAGAGGAGGGGGGGGGGACAGAGGCAAATTGCATTCTCTACAAGAACTGACCAGTGGTCTCCACCAATATTGACTGGTATCTCTTCGTGGCTACACAAGATTTCGCAGATCTCTCGCTGATAGTTGGACTCATTGAAGGGAAGCAGGCGAAAGTGCAAAGTGCTCATCAAACCGAACTGTACCGAATTGGCTACATAGCTATCCGATTCTCCTAAACATAGCGTGCGTTCAGGGAGAAACGCCCAGCCCCTAGTCTGGCTCCAAGTCCAAAAAGTAAGCGCCAGATATCGACTCTGGAGACAAGCCCCCAGCGATTTGGGTGACCCAGAGTTTTAGGTGTCACGAGAGGCTTTTACGGGGAACTAAAATGGCATCCGCTTTGTCAAATTGCCTTGAATTGAAATAATTTCCCAGTCACATTCAAAATGTGACTTGTGTTCCGAAAAGTAACGTCGCAAGAGTGAATAATGCCAAATATTCCTGATAGCTCCATTGTGGGTGTGAGGAATCGTGAGGAATGTGTGCGCATTCGGCTCGTGGGGGCATTTTGCTGGCTCCCATCGGTACTGCTGATGCCTCCCGTGCGGACCTGTTGAATCAGTTAAGCTACCAATAGCATGAGGTTCGTTCATACTTGACAAAAGACCGCAGGTCTCATCAAAGTGAAACTAGCGAAATCGCAGACTCCGTTCCCTTCCCCCCCTGAATCGAACGGCGCGGGAGTATAAAATACGCTGCATATCAGAGAAACCCATGCTACCTACTTCATCAAACCTGAATCCGAATAGTAGGCTATTGATGATGGAGCCTACAGCACTGTCGATGTAATCCCTGAGATCCAGAGGTTCTCCCGGATTCTGCTGACATTTCCTCAAGAAGTCCTTCACCTCATCGAGAACCTGTAAGGAATAGCCCTGACTGATTTTACTATCAAGAAAAAGAAATTCCGAGTTGGAAATAAAGTTGGAACTGGGTACAGCTATCGACAAGTCAAGCCCAGGTCAACCTCTACGTGAGCTTTTCTGTTCAGCGTTTTTCCTTCGCTGAGGAGCCAGGTATCCACTGAGCCATCCCGTAGAAGTTTCGGGTGGGAGTTGACCCGGGATTTCACCACCAGATCGTCGGAGTAGTAAACTATCGTAGGGCTTTATCATCTCTAGATTATTTTTATAATCCTTTACTCACCCGCTCCTGCATGACATCCTTTCCCATGCCAAAATTCCTGAACACATGCAATGCAAACCGACGTGTGCTGTTGCCATAACTCACCACTTGTTTCAACCACTCCGTAATCTCCTCCTAAAATGAAATCATTAGGTGCAGGCTCAACTTTTCCCAAATGTAAACGCCCTCTTAAAGGTCATGGGGCATCGAAATTGTTGGGTGGTGTGGCGCAGCGATGGAAGATGCTTGACAAACACCGTCCGCGTTGATCCTATGGGCGGAGACAAAGACTGACTCCGTCTATCTTCGTGCATTCTCAATCGATACACCCATCTTGAGATGATAATAAAGAGAGGTGCTCGGTGAGAAAAACAAGGCTGGCTCTGCCCATGCTCTTCCTGAGTCGATTATTCGGGCGGAGCACCGCACTATTGCATCTTTCTAACTTGTGCAGTTTTCTATAATGGTGAAGAAAGGCGTGTCAGTAAGGATAGTAAAACGGTCAACCATCCTCCACCCACACGACCAGCGTGAACCGCGCCTTCAGGATGTGATGCAGCCGCTGAATAACAGTACTTACCTCGCACCATCTTCGAAAGTGGTACATCCTGACGCCCTGTATAGGCAGCACCATCTTTGACCAAGGTTTCCTTCATCAGTTCATAGTCTGCTATCACTATAGCAGGTCGATCGGCCATCCAAAAAGTAAAACATCGGCCATGTTTTTCTTTCCATAGACGGAAAGGCTTCATAGCCGGGTTCGTAGAAATAAAGGGCGAGAAGGTTGCCGACGAACGGTAGAGGAACTGGACCTAAAATCACTATGGGAATAACTTTTTCCATAAAAAGCGAATGTTAAAGTTCATGGAACATATACAGCTGGCGCTTGTGCCGCCCCGCCACCAACCGCGACGCTCCGCCCACAACGCGCACTCCAGTAAGGCACGGCCGTTACTTCGAGAAGACCGGTGCACTTCAATTCATTAGAAGACCGAACTGCACAAAATGATACAATGGTGAGCAGTATCCAACCCAACACTAGAAAGCTCTAGCACCATGAGGAAAATTCTATTTTTATTCACCTTTTGCGAACTCCATATTTATAATAAAGGCTAGAAGCAGGGTTCGAGGGTGAAAATGATAGATTACTTATCCTTGGTGGCCTGCCTCCCTCGACACACAAATAGGAGGAGCGAAAGTGTCCCCAGTCCCAAAACACTCCAAGTCACCAGAATTGCTTTAGGAAAGATCGCGTTCCAATGAGACTTGCCGTAGTTTCAGGTGAGGGGGTCTAACTCGAGTGCGATAGTAGAATCCCGCACGCCTTTGCCAGCGAATTATTAGTTTAGTGCAGGTTGGTTGAACTATCCCTAGCGACAATTTTCTAGGCATATCTACCTCCATAGAATATTTAACATGGCACGTTCTGTCGTTGGGGAGGGGGCAGTTTTTTGTAAAGAGATCAAACGCTCGTCCAGCATTTTCCCTACGGGATCTAATGGGGCACCTCCTTAGTTTCGCGCAGCTTGGCTACTTCCCGAAGGGGGGGGACGTAACTTTCCTAGGTTTCCGCTCGAGTTTTCTCCAAAACTTTCACAGGCGCTTACAAAAAGAAGCTTCAGTGGAGGAGGGGAAGCACACTCAAAACAGGGAAACCAGAGACAATTAGCCACCCGAAAACACCAAGAATAGATTTTCCACGCTGCCCCCCCCGCCCTCATGCTACTCATCCCAACCGTACAACGTGCTCCAGTCTGGCCATTCAGGCTATTGCAAACAAGAAAGTATTCCCTAGCTGGTTGACTCGGCACACTGTAGCATCTCCACTTCAAATCATTTAGGCGCTGGAGTAAATGAGATGTAGGTGACACTTCTTTTAAGGCTGCTTCCGCATCAGGGCATATCATCGTTGACGATTCTCCAACAGGGGAGTCGTATTTGGTCACTAGGAGGGCGCGGAGGAGAGGGTCGTCGTAAACAGTCTAGGAAATTCTTAGTCGTGGATTCTTTTCTTGATTGTCCGCGGACGGGTGGGTAATGAGGGGGGCCGTCGTATTTGCTCACTGTTGGTATTTATTTGCCTAATAGGAGAAATTTGCGGCGTTGGGAAAAATTTTTTTCAGTTGTGGACTTTTTGTGGTTTTCACGGCTCCCTCCCCCCTTCTCCATTCACGATATTGATCTCCCAAGCGCTCTTGATCTCCCAAGCGACATCTGAATAAAAGATAAATTCCAGTGAAAATTCAGCCTCAATTTTAAACTGTGCTGACACAATAGGTGAGTAGTACCCAATTTCTCTCAGGTAAAACGAAAGAAAATCGAGCCAAGAGTCACTGACCAGCGGTAGAGTTCTGTCGTTTCCAATAATATAGATCAGAAATATGAAAACTGCTGAGAGCAACGGTAATAGAAGAGTAATAACGGTGATCGGCAGGCGGAACCCGTGAGCGTGCTGGGAGCTAACGAAGGGGCGAATGGATGCCGAAACTACGCCAAGTAAAGAACTGAAAAGTGGTCATCAGCGATCATTTGATAAGAGGAGTGACAGAGCGAAAGCGCGTGTTTGGTTATTGAATGGTTGGTAAAAAATAACCAGAAATACCGAAAAGTCAAAAGGATCGGCACTTGGCCTGAAATCCGTCGGACGTTTGGTGGCGTTGGGGGCGGGGAGGGGGGAGAGAGAGACATTTCGCACTTCATTTGCTCTTTTTGCTAGTTCACGTTATAACATGTCACACGTTGGAGACCTGCAAACTCTTGTGAAGCTGCGAAATGGTATGAATTACTTCGGTTACATGAATTTATAGGCCTTCACTAGAAGGCTGAACGAGACAAGTCTGCTAACGAACATTTGATGCTCCGCCGAGCCGAACTGCCACCCCGTCGCCCAAGTTCTTCGCGACCGGGAGCCGTGAATGGATTGATTTGAAAAATCAGAAGTGTTTTTGACCGGCGGTCATTCGGAATGGACCACGCACCATACCCTCAGAATGTCGATGCAGAGAACCGCGTAGAAAGTGCTTAACGTGCAGAATACCGACGAGTCCAGCTGTGGCATACAGCAAAATTGCCGCATTTCTGGTCAGATCCACTGGTAACGGGCTAATCACCTCATGACAAAATACGGGGCAGTTCGATGGGGAAGCGGGAGAGCGGAGGGAGGGGGAACAGCTCTGGGAGGGGTGGAGGTGATAGCCGGGTGAAAGCGTCAGCGCTACATTCTATGATTAGAGTGCTGTTTTCGACCCGTGTGCTATGTAATTTAAACCTAACACTGATAACCTCTGTCACAGCAAGTCGAATAGAAGGTTATTTACGCATCGCTGGAAGTCGTTCCTCCCAGGTCATTCAAAAATTACCGGCAAAAGTAATGAGGGGGGGGGGGAAGAAGAGATGGGCAGCGCCTCTATAGCAGCGCATCAGCGTCTGAATATCTCCAACATTCTGGCTACGCGGAGCGCAGACGGATAGAGTCACTCCAAAGGTTCGCGGAGCGGACATTGTCTTATGGCCGAGTGCCCCACCCCTCCCAAACCACGTCGCCGCCTAAAGCTGATATCCGGCAAAATGCCTCATCTTACCTAGACGGAATAGCACCCGGTTGCTCTGTTCTACACAACTTTTTGACAGCCAATGTGCCCTCAGCAGTTCATTGGGGTAGCAGTTTCAGTCAGATGGGACTGACGATCTCTTCCACATCATAATTTTCCCCAGTAGTGCCAAAGCGGTGTTGTCTTCCTCGCCACCCTTATGACAGTTAGGGTACGTCCTGCCGGTGGAGATAATGATGTCAAACAGAACCCCCGTCCCTCCTCCGATACACCCCCCCCTTCCCATTCTTGCCTATCTCCTACAGAGTTTTTTTTTCAAAAGACTGCCATTGAGCTGGGGAGAATGGCTGTACACAGCAAACGAGAAACGGCAAAAACCGAGAAGAAGCAGCAACCAGGAATATTGTTCTCGAAAGGAAATACGACCCTCTCACCCCGATGGAGATCCCAACGTACGACGTGCCCTGTTTATGACGGTCCACAATGTGCATTGGCATGAGGCCGTGAATTGAATGATGTTGTCTGCACCTGCCCAGCAAACAACTAGACTGGCGACAAACTAGAAAGCCATTGCATTTTTGACATTTTCTTTAACAAAAAAAAGCTTCCGCTGTTGCTGTAATTGTGAAGGAAACAACCTCTAATTCTCTTTACAGTTTGACATATCGGTCTGTTTATTCCTTATCAAAGATTAGTGGGACGTTTATTTGTACAAAGTAATGCTTCGGACTCTTCAAAGGGCTTTAACAGCCCAAACTCGTAAAGCTGCCACCGCTAGCAAGACAGGTATATTGTGTAATTTTTATTTTGTTCATTAATCTGCTTGCTACTATCGATTAGCTTATTTGGTTTTTTCTATTCTCTGTTTCATTTGCCGAAGAAGGCTGTATTTTCAAGAAATTACTCCACTGCCGAAGATTGAACTCACTAGCGAATTGTTTGATGATGTTCAAAATCGTGTGCGACAGCATGGCCGGACAATTGAAAAGATTCTTATTACATTCCAATGCAAAGATGGAACGACGAAGGAATTTTTGATGAATAAGAATCTTTCCACCCCTTACGACTGTACTAAACGTAAGTGAACTCCTATTCCTATCATTCCTTTTCTTATTTTTCTTTTTTTGATTTTGGTTAGTATCATCCGTTTCGCATAGATTCATTCCAGACGTCAATATGCTACTGGCAAAAAGATCGGTTCTCGCAATCGTTACTTATCCCAATAAAGGCACTGAAATAGAGAGCATGAATGAACCTTTTCGTGATGAATGTCAGTTCGAGTTGGCTGACTTTCAGACAGAGCAGTACGCTCAAGTCGTGAACCAGGTATGCGACAGAGTACACTCCATATCCAGGAGATGGGGTGGGCGTGGCTGCGTACCTCAGTCAAGCTCAGTGTAACGTCGAGGCGGCAGCGCCTCTGATGCGATACAATTCGCTATCTTATCCTTTGCCCAGTATAGGACAGAATGACAGTTGTTTACAAAAACGTATCGTGACGAGCAGCCACGCCCTCCCCATCTGGTAGATATGGGGTGTGGCGCTTATAACATTTTGTTGACGTTTTCTTTCCGCATTCACGCTCCTAATATTTTGCTGACATTTCTTTCCCTTCAGACATACTGGCGTTCCTGTAGCATTTTACTGGCAGCTGGCTTGAAAAAAGGATTGAAAGACAACATTGTGATCTCCAAGCTACATGCGGAAAGTGTGTCATTTTATATTGTATATAATTAAGCATACTTTACTAAGGACAAGAAAATCGTCATCAGGTACAGCAGGGTACAGGGTACAGCATTGTGATGTGAAATGGTGGTGTCAGTACGATCCCCCTCCCTCGAGGGAGGGTCTCGGTACGACCCCCCATCACTTACCCAATATCTACCCACCTCCTCATTTTCAGTTTTTCACCCGAAGATTTTCCGTCGAGCATAGCAAGGGGGTATATAATAAATGAAACAATATGAAACAAGATTTTTCTTAGATCTACCTAACTCCAAACCAGTTTATCCGCAATTTCCCAAAATTTTTTCTACTTTTCTTCAAAATTTTTGATGTCAGAGGGAAAGGGTGTGTGGCTAGGGGTATATAGTACACAGGAAATAGGAAAAATGACGCGAAAAGTCAACAACCGGAAGAAGATTTTTTTCGGTGAATTCCCCTCAAAGTCACATACGACCCCCCCCCCCCCACTGCCAACCAACGAGCGAATGCGGTTCCCCTCCCAGGCGGAAAAGTACACCACCTATAGGTTTCACACAACGATGCTGTACCCTGGATCGTCATTTGCCTTCTTCGGAGACCAGAGGCCAAGGGTGATAGTAGGAAGGTGAGCTTGACGAAAAGCTTGCCGAAAGGTCGTTTCCGCACCGAATAGGACGGAGTAACATCTGTAGGTATAGATATGCGATCAATAATATTTTGCTTCACTACAAGTTTTTTCTCCATGTTTCAACCTCCTTTGATATTATCCTTTTAATTTCAGCTGCCTTTAAGTCATTTTCGTTCTGCTTTCAGTACCGCAATCTTTCTTCGCTGTAGACATCGAAAACTTTACGAGTCACCTTTCGCAGGTATAATATATTTCACTATTCACTTGTCTTTCCTTTTTTTCGAACGTTTTTCACCTGTGATTTGTTTTTTGAAAAGTAATATCTCACTGAGGTGTGGTTCTCCGGGTGAAGGGAAAGGAGGGGTTGAATGCCCGTTCCCTTATCTCACGGGATTTGCAATTAATGTGGATGTGCTCCTCACAGTGTGCGCTCTTTATTATCTCAAGGCTATCATTTCTAACAGAAGAGATCTGGATTTGTTATGCTTGCTTTTGATTCCAAGCGACGCGTGAACCAAAGGTGCTAACGCGGGGGGGGGGAATCACTCAGCCACACCATTGTATCTCGTACCGAAAAAAGCTTAGGCTATTTAGACCTCGGTAGGAGTCGCCGAAGGAAAGTCCCGCAGAGGTGATCCCACATGGTCTGCACTAAGCCTGAGTCTCCATTGGAGCAAGGGATACGGAGATACTGTCGAGGGGTCCCCCTGTCACCTACAAGGGAATGGTTTGAACTTCCCATGGAACTTTGAATGGAGACCTAGGTACATCGATAGAGCCTCGAATGCTGATTACGAATATGCAGATTAAAAGTGCTACGGGGACCTCCCAGACGAGATCTGGATGTCTCGGCAGTGCCACCGTGGCCTCATGGTAACGGTCTTGCTTTTCAAACGCACGCGGGTTTGCATCCGGTTGGCGCGAAAATTTTTGCTTCGCTCCGTATAAGAGCTTCAACTCTAATTTTCGAAATTCTTCCGAATTTACGGCCCAGCAGGGCAAGTAGATCAAGTATATGACGTACTCGATCTAGTATGGATTTGGTCATATCTGCCCTCCCTGAACATATAAATCCGTACTAGATCGAGTATGTCATATACTTGATGTACTTGATCTACTTGCCCTGCTGGGCCGTAAATTCGGAAATTAGAGTTGAAGCTCTTATACGGAGCGAAGCAAAAATTTTCGCGCCAACCGGATGCAAACCCGCATGCGTTTGACTTGAAAGCGAGACCATTACCACGAGGCCACGGTGGCACTGCCGAGGCATCGATCAGCAGCGCTTACGAGCCAGAACTCAAACTTTGA